CACACACACACACTACTCTCTCTCTCTCTCTCTCTCTCTCTCTCTCTCTCTCTCTCTCTCTATATATATATATATATATATATATATATAATGTTTTTCCTAAGAAATCATCATATTATGATTTTCGTGACATAAATAATATATTTAAATCGATGTAGAGAAGAAGTAGGAGTCTTGGTAAATTTGTAATTGGGGATAGATGCTAATAGAAAAAAAAAACAACAAAAATCTGAATTGAATCAAACGTAAATATGGAGATAAGATCAAATGAATTCAAATTCAAGAATAATAATATTAATAATAATTTATTTGGCTTCTTTCTTTCTTTCTTTCTTTCTTTTAGTATCAAGATGGACATGTATGTATGTATGTATGGAGGAGAGGAGCCCCATCTATCCATCTCTTTCCATCGCTGACATGCCATGTGGCGAATCTGTCCATCTCCCACGAGTTGGTGTTGGGTGTCGTCGGAGCAGACACACATGGCAAACAAAAAGTTAAGTTGTGCAGATGAAGTGAGCCACCACACACACACTCTGTCTCTCTCTCTCTCATAGTTGTAACACTCTTCCATGTACCACATAACAAGACTTCCAACTCTTCTTATATATATATATAATAAATAATATATCGAACCCCATTTCTAATAGCTCAAAAATTTTCTGGTGACTTAAAAAGTTTGAATTATGATTTTTAATGTTTAACTAAAAATATTTATGCAGTACCTAATCTTCGTCATTACAGCTTGCCGGGGTTTTCGTTGGCACGTCAAACTTAATTGGATGGTTGATGAAAGGGGGGATGTATGTGTGTTTTCGTACCATTTCGATTGTACTTATCCAATTGAATATTAATTTGATGATAATATAAATAAGGAGGTGATGTTGGGATCCAATCTCATCTTAACCGTTTGTTTTTTGTAATCTGATTTGATTATTATTTTCATTACAAGATAGATAGATTTGTGAGACTTAGAGCGTACAATGGTATGCACACGAGTCGCAATCCAGCGACTACTGTTCTCTCACTTATTGTGATGGGGGCTTCCACATGCAACCGTGAGATCCAAAACACAGGCCATGTGCTTTCTCATGTGGGAAGCGTGGGCTCTGTTTCTTTTGCCAAGACTTCTCCATGGTTCACAACCGGAGACTCATTTGAACCATGCTGGATGCGTGCAGGTGCTCAGTATTGGGGCAGCGGCAGATGTCTCTGTCCCCCTAATAATCAATAGCTAAATAAATAATATATATATTTATGTAATGATGTCATGTATCCACAAGCACTCTGTAAACCTGGTGGTGGAGTTTTCATCGTGCTGCATCAAAACTCAAATGTGACAGCAAAGAAGAGCAAATGAGCCTTAGTGACACAGTTGCAATGCAGAGCCCACCAGCTGTTGAATAAAGCCATCACTAATTTGCATAAATAGCTGAAATCGAGTCAGTTTTCCATTAACTAGCAACTTCAACAAAGAATCACATGCACGAATCCAACAATATCTTCATTACAGGATTCCGACAAGCAGGCTCATGCCGCAAGTCTTAACACCAATAATTCACTGAAAATAGCTTGTGCTCTTCAATGTTTTAGATGTGTGAACAAGCAGTTGTTTTTAGGTTTCGGCACAACCACCATTGGAAGAGTCGGCAGTCTGCCGAATGAGCCCTAAAAGGCTGCTAGCTTTCCTCTTAGCCCTTTCGGTGCCAGTTTCCATGAGATCTTTCAACGCCTCTTCTGCACCGGACTCCACTGCAGCCCTGAGCTGTTGTTCGTCACCACCGCACAGCGAAAACAGCAAAGCAGCAGCATTCTCACGAACCCTTGCAGATCCTGTCTTCATCAACTTCACCATGAGCGGTATAGGGTTTGAATGTGTGATTGCCGTCTTGCCTTCTTGACTACTTGCAAGAATCGCCAATATAGCTAGCGCTTCGTCAACCATACCCCCACTAGGATCAACCAACATCCGTATTAAGTAGACCACAATACCAGCTTTAACAGCAATTACCTTGTTACCCTTGAAAATGCAGAGGTTGAAGATTGCAGTAGCTGCATCCTTCTTACCTCTTGGACTGCCATGGCACAGCAGATTAATAAGTGCAGGTATAGCCCCAGCTTCTCCTATGAGGACTTTGTTTTGATCCACAACTGACAGACTAAACAGAGCAGCAGCAGCATTCTCCCTTGCCTCCATACTCTCACTTTCCAGCGCCTCTACTATCTTTGGGATTGCCTTCGCTTTTACGATTAGACCCTTGTTATCCTCATTGATCGAAAGGTTCAGGAGTGCTGTAACCGCATGCTCCTGTGTCCTCGGATCAGGAGATGAAAGGAGTTGTACAAGTATCGGGATGGCACCTGCTTCGGCAATACATATTCTATTGTCAGCATTTCTTTTTGCGAGTAGTCGGAGTTCGCCAGCAGCTGCTCTTTGCTCTTCCTGGTTCCCATTTGCCAGTCTCTGCAGGAGCACATTGATCCCCGCACGGTTACAGTCAGAACTATTCCCTGGCTTCGACTCTTGGCAACTACCTTGCTTTTTGGGCAGTTCAATGCCATTGGCATCACACCATTGTGCGATTAAGCTCTTCAAAACGAAATTGGGAGTAAGAGTGGCATGGGACAGAGTTTGTTGTGTTTTAGGGCAGGTCTTGTGTCCACTGTCTAGCCACTTCTGGATGTAAGATCTTTCATATGTCTGCAGAAACAATTTAATTACTAGAATATCGAAAAAATAAAATAAGTTCTAGGTTTACGTTCATTACTTGTCCTGTGGAGACGATGACGGGATCCTTCATCAGCTCGAGAGAAATCGGGCATCGAAAATCATCTGGGATCACTGGAGATCTATGCTTTGCAAAACTAGTTTTCTTTTCGATGCTGGCTGAAGTTGAATTTTCTGAGATTACAAAATCTTTAAGCTTCTTCAGCAGTGATGACATTTCCTCCACAGAGACATCAGGGTCTTCGGCACCGGAAATTACCATTTCATGCAGTGCAACAGACTCCCTCATGATGTCATTCTTATTTTTGAGTTGAAGTTTTTCTAATATTCTTTTGAGGATAGTAGGATCACAGTGATTTTCACTTATTGCCCAATTTAGATCTCTGTTTAGTTGTAAATCGAGTGAGTCTGTACTTTCTTTTGCTCTACAAAGCTGGGAATGCACAAGTTCAATCTGGAAACTTTAAGTAATTAGCATATATCCCACATTAGTGATTAAACTTAAAAAAAAAAAAGCTAAAGAAACAAGGAAAAGGATACACTTCCAATGCTCAGTGCCTAAGCTTTTCTAACCAATTGGACCGAAACATGTCTTTTTACATAAAATTGATAAAATCAAAGAAAGCAAACAATAGAAACTAGTTGGTCTGCACAGGCAACATCGACAGGTAGTGTGCATTAGCATATTTAGTATGTTGTATCCTAAACATAATTACCTAGAATGTGATAAGCAACTCAGGTTTGTAATTATTTTAGGTCCTAACATATTGAGTTACTTATGTCACTAAATATTCTAGGATAATTTGGACTTCCATGTCATTCATTATGCATCAAATTAAATCAAAAGTAATGGAGGTAAAAGCAATATAACAAAATCATTGTTACATACATAATTCTTTTCGCTAATTTAGTACCTTTGTTGTCTTGAACCCTCATTAAGAGAAGCATCATGCAGCGGACTGCCCTTTGTTAGTAATATTGTTGTTTTGAACTTGCCTTCAACAGATTGTAGAGTAAGGACGTTGACTATGGATTTCTTTTATTAATGATTATAAACCGATCAAAATTCGACAAGATCAAACTCCCATTTTCAATGATTAGGATCGCATATCCCTTACCACAGTGACCGGAAATGCAAAAGAAAAAAGTACAAAAGAAAAGGCTTAGATTGAGATGACCAAAACTGCACCAAGGTTTCTAGAAGCAGAGTGATTGCAATAACTATGATACCAGAATTAATGAATGCCTATGATCACAGCTATGTTGAGTTCAGGATAGTGCTTATTAGATGTCATAAAAGACAAATATGTCAATTTATTAGCAGCTACAATGATTTTTAAGGCAACTCATTAACTTTAACCACTTGACAAGTGTTAACTACAACAAGATATATGGAATCAAAAAATACACATTGCAATAGAAATTCAAAAGAAAATTTCTCAAATTTAAAGTTAACAGAAGAGGTATGTGGTTGAGAAGTCAGTAGAAACTGGAAAAAAAAAGGTTTCATATCGTAAACTTTGATAGCAATTGTGGGGTGGTAGTAGGCCCAAATGAGACAAAGAAGATATGGAAAAGAGAGTACCAAAGATAGAAAAGACGCCAAAATAGAAACTTCATTAATAAGAGGACCACACAAAAAGACAACTCAACTACCTATCAACAGGATAGTGTTGCCTATCTATTACTCATGGTTTCTACTAAGCACTATAACAAGGATTAACGTCTCGATCATACCAGTAGATACAGACAAACATTTACAGGTTTGATGGTTGATTGCTAAAAAGATGAAGCAACATCACATGGTCAGGTCCAAAACAGAGCTTTACCACCCAGTAACTCTTTTTAATAAGGATATGATGGCTATTGACAGCTGTCTTAGCTTCTCTCTCTTCCACTCTCTCCTCCACTACCTCCTCTGCCACCTCCTTGTCATCCATTGTTGTGTCCTCCCCCTCTTCTTCACCTCATTTTCTGCCAACGCCTCCTTGTCCTCCTGTGCATTCTCCTACTATCAGTATATCTCCCCACCTTTGCCTCCTCATACCAGGAGTAGACCTCCTCCTCCTCCCTCTTCTTTGTCTCTCTTTCAAATTTCAATTCTTGTCAACCCGCTAAACTTGTATTAGTTGGCTCGAGGAAGTGCTGAGGTATGACATCGGTGCCTGACTGGTCCACCCAAGGACTAGCATTGGTTTTGGACAAAGATTTTAAACATTGCACTACAGAGTTTCTATCTCACTGTCTCTTTATTGCCTCACAACTTGGTGTGATGCATGCACTCTACTGGATGCTCTCTCTCAATTTCTCATACAATGCCTTCCAAATGAATTGAAGGTTAACACTTACTTCAATTAGTTGATATAATAACAAACCATACTTATCAAGGTTTCACCAAAGGAACAATTTTCTTCTCATCTCAACACTAGATTGACAATGTCTACCAATAGGAATGACAATATACTAATCTTAAATCTAATCAAGTCCAAACTTCAACATCATGTATCGCTGGACAATACTCATTCTACTCCTAATGAGACTCAACTCCACTGGAATACTACTAAAGTTGATCTCCAACATCTTCCCCTAAAATAAATCTGAAAAATATTAGGTGGAACTTTGAAAAAAAGAATTGATGCTTTGTCCTTCGACGTAGTTACAATTGTACCGATCTTTGTGTGCCCCAAAGATTATGTCACACCACCCACAATAGCTACATATTCAAATGATGTCATATGTTTTGACAAGCTGCAAAACTTTGATTTACCCTATACCTCAAGTGTCAAAAGTCAATATCTGTTTAGAAAATCAATTTGATGATAACAATTAATATTCTACACTCGAAGAAAGGTTATATAAAAGAGATTTAATTTGCACAAGCATGTAGGACAAAATTTCTCAGTAGTCTGAACGAGAATCCCAAATTTGCGTGAAGCTTGCTAACATGCTTATGGTAACAAATTTTGCCAGCCAGCATCCTTCATCTAATGAGACCTCAACTGCATGATCAACAAGTCTACTAACTACTTCAATAAAGACAATGAATCCTATCATAGTAAATTGATTATATGCACCTTTATAAGCACATCAGCTTAGTTTATAAGCTCAGCTTTATAACAACTACATCCTAATTGGTGACCACGTAATGTAAGACGACTCACAGAAAACCTCAATGGATCAGGCGTTCTTGATGTTACCTGTTCTTTAACTTCTACAGATACATTAAGCTTGTCCAAGCATATCTCACCAAGTGCCTTCTCAATAGATTCGGTCACCTTGCGGAAGACTTGTTCGAACTTTTGTGGGCGCAAAACCTGGAGAAGACACACCGAGAGGGAAAAGAAATAAGCAATTTATTCAGAAGTTGATCGAAAGGGGCAAATTTTTGATATGTCCACAAATTAAAAGCGAGTGATTTTAAACATTGACTGGATAATTGGACATAAAATGTCACCTGACGACATGATTGCATGAGATTCAATACGAATTCAGAAGGCTTCCGACGCAACAAGAGAAAAATGGCACCTTTCACCGTAAAAAGGATGAAATCGACTACAATTGATGAGCAAAAGTCGGGAAGGCTAGTCGATAGCGGTCACCTGATAGAGCTTGCTCCCCTCGTTCACGAATCGGAGGACGTCTTTGGCTTCCAGGAGGGCAGCGCAGAGGGTTTCGAGGCCGCGGATCTCGGCCGGTCCGAGGGAGTCGGCGTCGTCACCGAGCTCGTCGAAGAGTGGGGCGAGGAGCTTCACCCGCCGCGCGAGGTCGCAGCACATCCGCCTGAACGGGCCGCGGTTGTCCGGCAACGCGGACACGTCCGCCACCAATCCCAGCAGGGCCTCAACCGCCACGGCTCCGCGACCGCAGCCGATCCCCGCCGCCTCCTCTTCCTCAGCCGTCGGCGCCATGGACGCAATCGCGAATGGAGCAAAAGGGGATCGAGGAGGAAGACGAGAAGAATTGTTCGGTGAAGGAATCCAACGGAGGGAGTCCAAATGTTATTAAATATTTTATTTTCACCCTATGGAATGACATCATCTGTCACTATGTAAAGAGATAAAACAGATTAATGATGCGGTTGGAGTCGTACTAATAATTTTGATGCATTTATTCGGCGGCTTCTTTTTTGCGTCTCAAAAAAAAATTAAATATATTTGGGTATCGTTTGATTCTATAAAAGAAATATGCATTTATTATATATATATATATATATGTTAATGCGACCATTTCTCAAAATTCACATCGCAATCCTCCTCCGTCGGCCAAAACTAATTAAACCTCGTTTTATTGGGTCGGATGGAGTCAGTGCACCCGAATCCGATTTGAAATCACCTGGCAATAATAATACGTCACTGTCCCTCTCCACGTTTCTCCAACGAGATGTCTCCACATCAGAATTCGTTGACCACGTTGATACAGCGGTAGGGGCCCTCGCGTCGTGCCGCTCCGATAAATATCCCCCGACGCCACCCCTACTCGTCTTCTTCGATCTCCTCCGCCTCGCGGAACGCCGATGGCGAACCAGGGCGAGTCCTCCTCCTCCTCGTCCGATCCGTGAGATCCTTATTTGCCTTTGATCTCTTTGGGTTTATGCTGGCCTCAGGGTTTCGATCTGATTCGTTTCTTTGTGCGTCTGGGAATCGTTGCAGAAAGGGGGCGAAGAAGGACTTCAGCACCGCGATTCTCGAGCGGAAGAAGGCCCCCAACCGTTTGATAGTTGACGAGGCCGTCAACGATGACAACTCGGTCGTCTCCTTGAACCCGAGACGATGGAAAAGCTGCAGCTTTTCCGTGGCGATACGGTCCTTCTGAAGGTGACAATGCTGAGTTTTTTTACTGGGAGCTAGAAATCTTTGGAGTTATGGAGTCATCTGGGGAGGACTTGTTTACCATCGAGGAATTTCGGTGAAGTTTGGATTTTGTGTTGGAAGAAATCGGGCACGTCGATTGACTAGTTTTTCTTTTTCTTCTATAGCTTTGAATTTGTTCAGAAATACTGCTGGTGAAAATTAGGCACTTTCTTGAACATAGGCTCGGACTCGCATGTAGATTTCAATTCATTATGTATCATTTCTCTAATTGACATTTGAAAAATTGGTCTCTACCACATTTGTAAGAAGACCACTCTCTCGCTTTAAATATAAATAGATTTAAACTTCTGATAATCACATTTGAGACAAGAAACAGCAGACATCCACAACTTTTGTATAACTGGGGAATTCTGAACCATGGATTTCATTTTAATGGGTTCACTTCCTTAATTGACTAAGTAAATGCTTTCTCGTCTTTGTTGGCAATGATTTCAGGGGAAGAAGCGTAGAGATACAATTTGTATTGCGCTTGCTGATGACACTTGTGATGAACCTAAGATCAGGATGAATAAGGTTGTTAGGTCAAACCTTAGAGTGAGGCTCGGGGATGTGGTATCTGTGCATCAGTGTCAGGATGTGAAATATCGAAAGCGCGTGCATATACTTCCCGTAGATGGTACAATTGAAGGCATTACAGGAAACTTGTTTGATGTTTATTTGAAGCGTAAGTTGTATTATTTTTTCCTCCCACAAATTCTCTGGCTTACCTGGATCTAGTGTTTTTACTCTTTTATGGAAGGATACTTGGGCAGATATTTTGTTTATGAAATTATTTTGTGGGTAATGGTTCATTATCAATATATGTCTTAAAAGTTTCATGGGACCCATTGCCCTGTTATGAGATGGTGTTTCTTCTTTACTGGGAGATGTAAACTGTAATTTTGAAGTAACACGGTGTTTTTTAGTTATTTAAAATGTAATCCTTTCCACTCTTGCATGTCAAAGTTTGGACAATTATGTCATGGTAACATAATAGGTCATTGGATTTTGACTAGTTATGTTGACCAACTATTTGTTTCTTTCAAAGCCCTTCCTTTATGGTCAGTCTGTACTTCATTCACAACATTGGTTTGGAGCCTGCTGAGAACATGCCTTCTTGTGTTGTCGTGACTGTGGGTGCTTATTGAAATATTGGTGGCAGCAAAATATTCAATTAGTTTTCTTTTTATTATCAATAAGGGCACAGGGTATGGCTTGTTTGTTGAAGGTTCCGTACACTAGACCAAGTTGGATACAAGATTATCTGTTCCTTTTTCTTTTCCTCTTTTTATAAAGCCTAAGAATCCCATCGAGGGAAAACATTAACACAAAAGTGAGAAGCAAAAGTTAGGATATTATGGAATATTGTGTCTTTGGGGAGCCAAATACCCAACGGCCCTAATTGAGGCAAGAGATGCTTCTGGCAGACCTTAGTTTGGTTGATATATTCTTCTGCTAGTTGATGCCTAATTTGAAAGCTTTGTTTGTCATTTACTATTAGTTTGGAAAAAGATGATAGTTTATACATCAATTTGTTCAGATTCTGGCTTAGCCAATCAAGCAAGAGGTGCTTTTTAATATGCCTATTGTATATATTGTTGGTGCTTTAAATAGTCTTAGGTCGGCATGCATTTTAGTTGTATCTATTTGAAGGAATATATCTTTTAAATTTTCAATTAGATTGTTCATAATCTGTTTGCTGAATTTAAACCGAGTGATATGGTCTATATCAAGCAATTGAAGAGGAGTTAAAGGAGGGGGAGATCAATGGTTTACAACTTGGGCCTTGAGGACATTATTCGATCATAAACTCAAGGCCTTTAGCTAGGATTTTCACAGTATGCTAATTTTGTCATTGGGTTAATTAATTTGTTGAGGAGTAGATTGAGAAAGAAGTACATCTAATCAAAGAACAATAAGCGTTCCACAACTTCTGTCTTGAATTTGACTTTCTCAGGCAAAAGTTTCTGGCTGGATTAAGCTTGATCGCTAATAATACAGCTAACTATAGATCTTTATTTCAAACTTTTTATATTATTTGCAGAATATTGTTCTTTGTCTTCAAAATGGCTCTTTTGCATTCCATAGCCTTAGAAACCTGCTGTTTTTGTTTGTGTTCTGCATAATATTATCTCTTTTTCTTATGTGATTTTCAGCATACTTCTTGGAGGCATATCGCCCTGTTAGGAAAGGAGACCTCTTCCTTGTTAGGGGTGGGATGCGCAGTGTTGAGTTCAAGGTAACTGAAACTGACCCACCAGAATACTGTGTGGTTGCCCCCGATACTGAGATTTTCTGTGATGGAGACCCTATTAAAAGAGAGGATGAGGAACTGCTTGATGAGGTAGGGTATGATGATGTCGGTGGTGTTAGGAAGCAGATGGCACAAATTCGAGAATTGGTCGAGCTTCCCCTAAGACACCCTCAATTGTTCAAGTCCATCGGTGTAAAACCACCAAAAGGCATTTTGTTGTATGGACCTCCTGGCTCTGGTAAGACTCTGATTGCAAGAGCAGTAGCAAATGAAACTGGAGCATTTTTCTTCTGCATCAATGGTCTTGAAATTATGTCAAAGCTAGCTGGAGAGAGTGAAAGCAACCGTAGAAAGGCATTTGAAGAAGCAGAGAAGAATGCACCATCAATTATTTTCATTGACGAGATAGATTCCATTGCTCCTAAGAGGGAAAAAACCCATGGAGAAGTGGAGAGGCGTATCGTTTCTCAACTCTTGACTTTGATGGATGGTTTGAAGTCACGGTCCCATGTGATTGTAATTGGTGCAACAAATCGACCAAACAGCATTGACCCAGCTCTTAGAAGGTTTGGGAGGTTTGATAGGGAAATTGACATTGGGGTGCCAGATGAGGTTGGTCGCCTAGAAGTTCTTCGCATACATACCAAGAATATGAAACTAGCTGAAGATGTAAGATTGTTTATGAGAATGCTTTGTCTTTTTTATGATATTTTTTGTGGGTGCCCTGGTTTATGATGGTAGTTGACACATTTTCTATATGCAGGTTGATTTGGAAAGAGTTGCCAAGGACACTCATGGGTATGTTGGGGCTGATCTGGCTGCCTTGTGCACCGAAGCTGCTCTTCAGTGCATACGTGAGAAAATGGATGTTATTGACTTGGAGGATGAATCTATAGATGCCGAGATTCTGAACTCTATGGCTGTTACAAATGAACATTTTAAAACTTCTCTTGGAACAAACAACCCTTCTGCACTCCGGGAAACCGTAAATGCCATGTTCTTATTTTTTCCAACATATGCATTTCTGTTAGTAATTTTTGTTTAGTTGAAATACAATTTGTTATTTAGTTCCTGGAACCTGCATCCAGGTTGTTGAAGTGCCAAATGTTACTTGGGATGATATCGGTGGACTTGAAAATGTCAAGAGGGAACTGCAAGAGGTACTATGAAGGAACAATTGACACTTTTTTCTGGTACTCTTGGAAATTTCAACTAACTGCTTGGTCATGAATTTTCTTTTATTTATAGACCATCCAATATCCAGTTGAGCATCCAGAGAAGTTTGAAAAGTTTGGTATGTCAACTTCAAAGGGAGTCCTGTTCTATGGACCTCCAGGTTGCGGAAAAACTTTGTTGGCAAAGGCCATAGCCAACGAATGCCAAGCAAACTTAATCAGTGTCAAGGGTCCAGAATTTCTCACCGTGTATTTGGCGAAAGTGAAGCAAATGTTTGAGAAATTTTCGATAAGGCTCCTCAATCTGCTCCATGTGTACTCTTTTTTGATGAGCTGGACTCGATTGCAACTCAGGTTTGTCCCAGCATATGTTTGATCACCCTTCTTATCTATCACTATTATTTCATTTAACTACAATTTGTGCTATCACAGAGAGGGAGTAGTGTTGGGGATGCAAGAGGTGCTGCTGATAGAGTTCTCAATCAACTCCTGACTGAGATGGATGGCATGAATGCTAAGAAAACTGTTTTTATAATTGGGGCAACAAACAGGCCTGACATTATTGATCCGGCATCGCTAAGGCCAGGCCGTCTTGATCAGTTAATCTACATTCCTCTGCCAGATGAGGCATCACGGTACCAAATTTTTAAAGCTTGCTTGAGGAAGTCCCCTGTTGCAAAAGATGTGGATCTGATGGCTCTTGCTA